CAGTCCCTCAATTTCTAAATTCTTATTTATTTTTCAATTTATTCTTTCCAAATTCATTCACTTCATAATAAGAATAACTAAACAAATACCTACTTTGAGTTTTTATTCAAGAACTCCAAAAAAACCCAAGAAAATTAAGAACCTCCAATTTGCTGCAGTCTGTCGTAGATTGAGTAAGTGGTTAAGATATTATTTATACTGTGTAAAAAAATCCTACTTAAACATTCATCTATAGAATGAAATTAATTAATTCAGATATTTAAACAGGGAGCGGAAGGAACGCAAAACAAAAATATAGTTTTAATAGGAATGAGTCATTATTTCGAATGTGATCACATTTGGCGCAAAATGACGTAAGCCCCTGTACAGCGGCAGGTCACGCGCGTATCCATTGTACGCATAGACATCACTACTAAAAAGAAGAAAAATGGTTAATTTATTGTAAATTATACGAATCAACCGTAGCAGTAGCAGATAAATTCTTTAAATTATGGGTGGGGAAAAAGCTGGTGAAAAAACTTGCCTTAATTGATTTTGTAATAGGTAGACTCGCTGCCTATCCCATTTCGCGGTAAAATATTTTACTAAGAAAGTACTAGTGTATATATTTTGCAATATACGTTTGTTTCAATGATAATAAGAACTATATGACGACTTCCGTGAGCATGTGGCGTTAGTAAACATAGATGCGAATTTCAAGATGTCGACATCTATGCGTTCGAGTCCCGTTCGGGTCAATTTAGAAAATCAATTGTTCTATATTGTCTCAGATCTAGGTGTTGTGTTATCTTCGTTGGTTCTAACGTATGTGCTGTTGTATAATATTTATTTATTTATTATATTAAGAACAGGTTAATTGTGGTGCTTACACTTATACCTACTAATTCGCTCTTTGGCTTCGGTTTTGTTAATAACTTTCCCTTTCACAAATTTAGAAACTAAGAAACTTATTCTCATAAAGTCTTAAGCTAAAACGATCAATCGTGAAACCAACTATTTGACTGTTTCCACAAAATGCAATTTTGAAATTCTCAACTTTTAAGTATAGGATATAGAAGAACAAAACTCGTTGACAATAGCCAAAACGCTCAATGTTTGTATACTTGTATAGCTATGCAACAAGACTCATTATAGCTAGGTTAATTATTACCCCATTGGCTGACATGCCATTTCCTAGCTTTTACATTGCCAACTAAACTTGTTCGTTATCGTCTCGGGACTGGGGTAGAAGTAGGTCGGGTATACGGACACGGCAAGCATCGACCTCTTGCCTGCCGCGAGCGACCCACTGACGGCTATTTGTTTACTATGTAAATGACATCTTTTCATAGTACATTCGTGAACTAGACTCAATTACTTTTTTAATTTTACGATGCATTTGTAAATTTGTTGAGCGGAAAGTTTACTCATTACAGTATAATTGACCAATGGTGTGAGCCTTCCCAGTCAAATACCTATCTAGTTGTCTCGATAAACTGAATTGGGTGTGGTAACTTAAATTTTTGATAAACTCAAAACTGAATTTTGATGAGATTTTCACCAACGGATGGAATTGAGTTACCAAATTGCACCGATGGGAAGTCACGGACGACACTAGTTCCTAAAAATAGTTATGGTAATGCTGAAAGTTTCTATGTAATTTATCCGATTGAATCATAATAAAACCGAATTTTCTCTTATTTGACTATAGGAACTGATAAATAGATAAAAAAGTTCTCAAAAATAAGTATCGTTTTCATTTTAAATAAGTACCTATTGACTATTGTAGTTATATGGAGTGATTTCGTACCATCATACTAAACATCTTTTCTGTGTCATGTGACTGTATTAATCTATCAGTTATTATTTAGTGTTTTTTTGCTTTAGTGGATACATTGAAATAAAGACTACTCACATAGGTTTCCAATTAAAATAAGTATTCAATTCTCAAAAGTTCTATTTACGCAAACAGACGAAGTCCTAAATAACTATAAAGAAACATTTGCGAAGTTATTAATTCTCGTCCTTGGTGTGTCTACAATTGAATACGACCTATTGCGCACTGCGACTTTTAATTCATTTCTACGGACAATGACTATTGGACCTAAATTTCTTATATCACGTATTCATAAAAATTTAAATAGGCATTAAACTTTTATATGTATTTGCTGTGAAACAAGTATGTAATAGTACCAATGTAGATAAGAAATGATGTAAGCGCAACGATTTGTCAATATACTTATTTGGCTTAAATAATGATTGAGGTAGATATTTTGCTTTGGAATACAAAGCAAAATCAGAAAGATACGTGTTTTTAAACATTTGCCAAGAAAACTATTAAACGAAAAGTTTTTTTGGTAGATGTTTACCTTCATATCGTTGTTAGTATTGTAACCACCATCAACAAATCTATATCAATTTTGCCCCAACAGTCTACACTGACCATCAACAGAGCCAGTCAACCACAGAGTGAGTCGTTCAATTCCGCAATATTAATATAATATCTACTAGTTTTCCTACAGCAGCATCGCCCGTGTACCTTAAGCCTTAGGGAACCGTTTAGTACGATAAAAAATTACCTATAACATATTAAATTCAGGCTTACAATTACTCTTAAACCATATCTAAATCCGTTCAATAGTTTTTTTATTAATGAGAAACGAACTTAAATTCGTACTGACAGAATAAAATCATATTAGAAGGGTAGACCTACGTACTTTTAAGGTCCCTTTGGCCTCCTTTGAATATGTACCTTTACAATATTTGATGGAGTTTTTATGCGCGTTCGTTATTCATGTAAAAAATTTAATCTCTTTTTTCCCGCGTAAAGCGTGCGTTCAAAAGGCAAGAAGAGTGTATTTTTTTATTGTAAAAATTTCGGAAAACTGCCAGATAGATAATTATGGTGAATAAATATTTCTTTTTTATTTAATCAAACATTTTCTTTTTGTGAAATATCAATTCATTCGAGATAATTTTTTAATGGACTACGAGAACTGCACTGCTGAGATCCCTGGTAGGTCTGAATAATTCTTTTCCCGTCGTGTCGTTTCCCACATAGGTCAGATCATTTAGCCTAGCTAATAGTTGGAGCACCCACAGTCGCTGGAGGTGTAATAGCATATTGTTACCGCCTCCGCAATGCTAGCTACTAAACAAGTGATAAATGAATTCGATTCTACTACCATTGTGCTCGGGATTTATGTTTCAAGGTCCGCTAATATGCCCAAACTTAGAACTGAAGTCATTAGTTAAAGAAGACAATAGTATATATATGACCTAGTCATGTAAATGTTATTGTTAATTAACGTAAAATTAAGGTATTCTTGAACTGCACAGGCTAACTTTACCAGATATTATCATAAGATATTGGGAGCAATCATAAAGCAAGATGCTACTGTAGGCAGATATTGATTTCATTCCATATTATTGTTTTCGATATAAGTAATACCTACCTTTGTTAATTTTGTGAATTGAAAATTATTAGCCGAGATTGATTAATGTAGATTAATGAAGAATATTAACCACGTTTTTTTTTATTTATTCCGTAATTCATAAATTACAGTGACACATTGAGTTGAATGATGACGTGAAAAAAAAATATGTATCGATTACAGTGACACATTGAGTTGAATTGTCGCATGACGTCGCACGGTGACGTAGCGAGCCCCTAATCCTAAACTTAAATGCCTATTATGTAAGCCTTGTTGAATTTGCCTTGCCTTACCTTGTCTTGTTAAATTGAAGTAAAAAAACACGTATCTAATATTTTTAGGGTTTCATACCCAAAGCGTAAAATGGAACACTTTTACTACGACTCATTTGTCTGTCTGTCCGTCCGTCCGTTTGTCTCCAGGCTGATATCTCAAGAACCGTAACAGTTAATTTGTTAAAATTTTCACAGATAACATATTTCTGTTACAACAACAACAAATAAAAAAAAACAGAATCAATTTAATATTTAAGGGGCTCCTATAGGACAACTTGATTTTTTCGTATTCTATGGAAAGTGAGTGACCGGTTTTTCTATTATCTGACTGACAGACTAAATTGAATTTCATTTTTTAACCCCGCCATCCCTAACTATCACCCCCTAACACCCCTATTCTATCTTTTTTATCTGACAAAAAGCAACTTTGCTCAGGAATCATCCTTACCTAAGTTAAGTTTTAACCTTTTCAACTAAAGTAAGAGCGCCGGCTATAATCTCAGCTGGCGTTTAGTACGAGTTTACAGCAAAACGCTTCGTCCACAAGGCCGGTGATGTAATTGCTACTTATAGCACTCAAACACCACGAATATACTATGATAGATAGACAATTTCGTGTTTGGTTATTTTTGTATGACATCACACATTGCTCGAACGTTTGCTTGCAGTTGCCTTGATATGTAATGGACTGGAATATTATTATGTACGTAGGTAGGTCACCTAATATATCCGGGATTTTAATACAAACAGATTTCAATTGGCCTTGTAAAAATTTAAAGTAGGAAAGGATAATGAAATCAGCTCACTATTTCAGTGCGTCTGAAATAGAAGAAAACACCTACTTACTGACTACGTTATTTATTATGTTTTAACAATTAGCATTGTAAACAAGCTATATGGCACCGTACCTTTATTATTAATTAAAGGCACCTACATTAAGTAAATGAACAAATTTCCTTGATCTTTGATCGATAGAAGTTAGCGCTAGCTTATTATAAATAATATTGGATAAATTTGTTAACAATACTTAAAAAAAAAACTGTTATCTATATTTGGCTATGAACACATTATAAGCGTTAATGGTCAGAACAAAAAACCTCTTTCATTTGCTCATTCCATTTGTACCTCTTCATAATACCTATTTTTCGATTTAAAAATGGTAAAAACTGATGTTTTATTGAAAAAATTTAAAGGGAACGAACGGTAACCGTTTAGAAAACGGTACTACACTAAAATTAACTCTTAAAAATTCCGACAGGTTGTGAGTGGATTTTTCATTAAGGATAATTATCAGTGTTTAGTATTATTAGCATCGTGAATGCAAAACTTATGATTTTATTAAAGATCTCATTTTATTCAAGCGGACACTAAATCACTCAATTAGTTAACAAAATGTTGATTCGGTTGAAAAATGTTAAGATAAGTAAACAAGGTTTATTTAAGACTTCCAAAAACAAGCTTTAAATTTTCTAACCATCTAATTACAGGTTAGACCAAGATGTCAGAAGAGTCAGCGCAAACTCCACAGGAGGCGCAAGAGGCAGTAGAGCAAGTGACAGAGGAGGTGAAGGACATCAAGTTAGAGAATGGAGCACCTCCAGCCAACGGAACGCCGCCCAAGGGCGAAGACAATTCTGTGCCATTGAAGGTAACACCTAAATTAGCGGTTCCATAGACTTTTGATTGTAATTAAAAACGTTCCATGGCAAAGTTATTTTTCCACAATTTTTTGGTAGACGTAGATATGCCTGAAGAAGCATTTATATCTCTTTTACTTACTTCAAGGCTTATCCCTGTAATACTATATAAAAATATATATATATAGAAATTTAATATAAATATCAAACTTTCTACAAAAGACTTAAGAAAATATATGTACTTGGTAATCGAAACTTTTCGATTTCGTGAATTGTAGAAAATGATTATACTAGAAATGGAATGAAGACGCTGACAAAAAATTGTGTAAAAACTAGTAGGTAGGTATATAGTATAACTTAACTGAATGTCTTTCATAATAAGTAACAAGTAAAAACTTATCGTTACATAAAAATTATGATATAGGTAGCATAAGATAATTTAAATACAATATAACACGCAATAAATTTGTCAATTCTCAATGAATATCCGCTATTTCAATACCTAATCAGATTTGTACCTCTTTAAATTGCTTTTTTTAACGTCAGCAGTCCAGTATCATTTGTAGTCAAAATTTTAACCATCATTATTTTACACCAAATCTCGACTTGCTTTTGCGAAGGGGGTTGAAATGAAAAGCAATAATAGCGTGTCTGAGTTATGATATTTGGAAGATACAACAACAAGAACAATTTTTTTTAAAGAAATAACGAGGATAAATTACTATAAGTACCTACTTGTTGGTTTTTCTGTATATACCTATTCACAGGTGCATATGACTTTTCAAATCTTTTTATTCGATATTAAATTGGTTTCTCATCTGTGTTTTATCTTTTAATTTAGTTTAAAATAATATCTGTTTTGCCAGTCATGTTGCATTAAAATTCATTTTAAAGTTCAGTAATGAAAATCTAAGTTAAACTTAGCATATAGTCCGTGCCTTAGAATTATACTTTAAAATAATGGTTAAAAGATAACTAATTATACTTAAATTGAACAGAATTTGAAATTAATTATTGTTATTATATGTTACAGGATGCATTTAAAGCATTCTCCAAGTTTGGAGATCCGAAATCTGACGGAAAGCATATAACATTATCGCAAAGCGACAAATGGATGAAACAAGCCAAGGTGATAGATGGAAAGAAAATAACGACAACGGACACTGCCATTCATTTTAAAAAATTGAAATCCTTGAAAGTTGGCATTGAAGATTATCAAAAATTCCTCGATGATCTAGCAAAGAGCAAGAAGATGGAATTGGAGGATATAAAGAGAAAACTAACAACGTGTGGACAACCGGGTATTTCAAGTCACGTAAGTTTCACATTTTCTATATTTATCTATCTATCTAAAAATAGATGATATTTATGAAATTCGGGACTCATAAGTATCTAACGGTCAATTTTATTGCACAAACGTCCATTAAGATTTAATTACGACTTTTGTATATACTAAATTCGTATTGGTAATGTCGCTTTAAACTAATAGACGTTTGTGTTGAAAGAACACTGTAGCGAAATTAAGTTTGATTTCTAAAACTACTTATCTACTTACATTATTTGTATATCTACTTGTAAATGGTATAATTACTTTCTCATTCGTTAATTCCCTATTCCCGAAAAAGATCGTTGTCTTTCAAGTTTACTTGTATTGCCATGAATAAATTATGGTTTTTTACGCTGCTAGAACGGTCAACTTGCGTTTGTAGTTAACGCCTTTGATAAAACTTTTGCATTGTTGTTTAAATTAACGAAAAAAAACTATAATGGATAAGTGGATGTTTGTTTGTGAATTCAATACATAAGTGACAGACATATATATTGGTTTTCTCTGTTTTAGGTAACAAAATCACCAGCTGCTGCGGCCGCTGTAGATCGTCTTACTGATACCAGCAAATACACAGGGTCCCATAAACAAAGGTTCGACGAAACGGGCAAAGGTAAAGGTATCGCTGGCAGAAAAGACCTCGTCGACGGTTCAGGTTACGTCACCGGCTACCAACACAAGGATAGTTACAACAAAACTCATTAGTGCGATCGTACACTTCTACTTCTAAAAACTGCAGATGATCAAGGTAGTTACGGTGTAACACCTAGTCCATATAACCGTATAATTGGGCTGTGGAATGAGAGCAGTTCCATCTAAGATATTGAGTTAATGATTCAAGAAATGTCAAAATTATCATATTTTTATTAGTATAATACTAACTAAAATGTAATTACCTACGTACTTTCACGCGGGATTTCATGTTGTTTCCAAGATTTATCATTTTAAGGAAGCCGCACACATGCTGAAGAGCCAATCGCGAACCCAGATCTTAAAAAGTTTATACCTGATTACAGCTACCTTAAACCCGCAAATCAGGCAAGAGCGAGTGAGACTATGAACTTTCTCATGATGATACATGCAGGTAACAGCACGTTGGGTGTTATACAAAACTATAAAATTTCCACACTTTATTTTAAATCCTAATTCACTAAAGGTAGTTCACCTGACGTAGGTACTGCTTTTTACATTCCTACGTATGGGATGCTAAAGAATATGTGCCGTCTTGTGTCAGCATTCGCTGCCTGATTCAGATTCGCTCGTGATTCAGATCACGTACGATGCATACTTTTTCAGGGACTTTGATTTTAATCACCTATCCTCTACTTTTAATCATATATAAAAATTTACATTAAAAGACCGTGAAATGTGACGTCACTGTGATTCACTGTTAGGGTGGTGCTCGTACCCAACAAGTTACGCGATAGATCCGCGCCAGCAAAGAGTGACCTCATAACTATTGCAGTGTGTTAAAGAATCGAAAAAAAAATCTATTATAGCTATGATAAATCCATCTTAATATTGTATCTTCAATACAATATTAAGTTAACTAAAATAAAAATCAACCTACACTATTTAATTGAAGGTAAAACTGCCTACAAAAAAAACAATTCTCTATGTAATAATACTTACAGTTTTTATCTGCTCTATGTATAAATATCTACTTAAATTGTCTCGTTTTTAATTATTAGACTTCGCCTATTCAGTGTATATTTCGACAATATTAATACGTTATCGATTAACGGGCGTATTGTAATTTAATTAAAAAGATGATTAAGAACATATTATGTACCTTTATAAATAAGTACAATACTAGTTATATGTGTACCTATTCCTCATGACTATTTGTAAAATATAGTCGGTAATACAAACCACCAAATGCCCAATCTTTTATTCAAATGTTGAATTTATTCTGTTCGCATAACGAGAAGATTGTCTTAGATTGTCCTACCCTCAGGGATCGATGTTGCATTGTTGATCGAAGATTCTTATCCAAAATTTAAAATATAATTAAGAATATCAAAACTTCTTGGTCATTATGTTAAATTTCATAGCGATGCGCAAGTTTTTGTTCAAGTGGGACAAGGCTAATTATGCTGTTTCTTTCTTTATACATATATTCAAAGTTAATCTACTTTTGCAATCCTTCTTCAGTGAAAGAGGGATTATAATTTGTTGTGATCTGATTTAAATTTTCCTTGATCTCAGGCAGAGAAAACTCCATATCTAGTAACTACTCTTTCAACCACACTACCAGAGATTTTAACAAGATTGTAGATGTTCTAAAGAATCTACTTCACTCTTTTGCGATTTGTGAACGTGTTTCTATCAATGTTTAGGTAGAGATCTTATTCAAATCATTATCATGTTAAAGAATAATTCTATAAGATGAATAGCAATTGCATTATAATTGCATTATGAGTGCAACATTTATCAAAAGTATATTTTTTTAATCAAATAAACTTGAGTACCCATTTATAAATATAACCTTAATTTATGATTTCATAATGCGCTCGATGCATACCTATATCAAATTGTAGGTGTAAGAAAAGGCATTAGATAACTAAGCTTTGGATGTTGTGGTACCTATGACATTCGTCATTCCATATTAATTATATAATTAAAAAAGTATATTTTTATTACATCTAATATGTTTAGACTTAACCCTATCCAATCTTTGTAGGAAGTTTTGATGTCTAGTCGTCCGTAGAGTATCATTCAGTAGCTAAGCTGGAGCATGATATGCTCATTAAAATATATTCGTACCTATGGGTAATGTTCTGGGGCTTTTTTTATTTACGAATTGTGAATTTGAAATAGAACTTTATCCTTATGGATTTACCATACCATGTCTAAATTATATAGTATTTGGACATGATAAATCATTAGTTCAGTATGCTGGTTTATTCCACTTTGTGCGCGTTTTTGTATTCGAAATTACCCTCTGGCAAATCTTCTAGGGGACCAAAATCTATAAGACCCTCTACTATCTATTTTATTTTGGTGAATTTCATATTAAAGCTGATAGTTCAAATGGTATTCTCAATAGTAATTACTCAAATAGTATGAATAAAGTAATAAACAAATACGAATTTAAATACACAAAGTGGAATGATGTAAATAAAACTAATTATGTTATTTTATTAAAGTATCTAATACCTAACAAAGTACATTTTGAGTTCTAAATAAAAAAAATGTTGAAATGTAACTGAATTATTCAGAGAAAACATAACAGAAGACACAATATTGAATAACGATTCCATTAAAAGTACCTTCATTAATATCCGCAATTTACAAATTGCAGTATAATGATATACCTACTTAAATAAGAAATAGAAATGTTTGCTTCGATCAAATAACACAAATATTTTTTTGTTTTTAGTATATATTAGTGTCATAATTTATTATTAATATAACATGCACTGTGCTTTTATATAAACGGTTCTTATTACAATTGACTTAGGTTCATAATTAATTAAGGAATTAATGTACCGAAAGTTTTGTTGGTTTATTAATAAAGAAATATTTTACTTCAATTGAGTTTTATTGCTTGTAAGTTTGGAGTTCGTCACTCATATCATAAGGATCCAAATTTGTAATACCTACTTATTTATACCACAAAATGTGCCTATACTAAAGCTATACATAACGTAACGATTTTTTCTTTGGATCAAAACGGAACATCGTTATTTATAAAAAAGGGGGTGGGGGGTTGACTTAATTTATAGATGGCCTTTATCTAGTATATGTGGGTAGTTAGAATCTGTGATTAAAAGAGCACGCTGCTTTTCGGTATAGAAGTTTTAAATAATCTCAAAGTTATTGGAAAGCGAATGAATTTCTCATAAAAAGCTGATGTACTTTTATCGTCTTCCCCTCTGCGTGTGTGTGTGTGTGTGTGCGTCAAACAGAAGTTTCTTACTGTTTCAAAAATGAGACATTTTTGCGCCACGGGGTTACCTTCGGGGACACCTTGGGGTTGACTGTCCGTCAGCTAAAAAATGGGATGGTCCCGTTCAAAACGGGACATACGCGCTTCAGGAAATTCGTTAAAGAGGTACCGCATGTTCATGGCATAATTTATTTTTATACACGAAACAGCTTATCATTATTTATGCCCGGGTAGGTAACATGAATAATGACCAGTGGTCGGAATTAGGTAGAGTTATTCATGTACTTACACTGATTTCATACAGCGAAAGAAGAAAGTGGATATGCCTCAAATCCCGAGATTAATTTTGAAGAGCAGAAAAAATCCCGTGATTTTTTAAATAAAAAGTTATTTACTTTTACACAATTTATACTACTGCACGCACGTAATATGCGTATGAGAATTTGCTTAAAATTGTCAATAATTTGTATTGTAAATTAATGTAAACTAATAAAATTTTTATGTTAATTATCTTTGTTTTATTTGTCTATCTCTGACTTGTTATTATTATTTAGTTGTAAGATTGTTGGGCCACACGGGATTGTCCATGAGAAATCCCGGGAAGGTCCATATTAATATCAACATTTCGATGCAAGTACATAAATAACTCTACCTAATTCCGAGCGCTTAGTGTAAGTTTTTTTGACGTTTACATTCACTGTCGATCGTGAGCGCGTTAAGATTTTAGTATGGAATCCGGTACAGCGCCCCTAGCGGTAACTATCAAGAACTACAAATCTCCATACAAATTCTTAACGCGCTCACTAGTGAACGCGTTAGCGTAAAACTTACACTTACCACTCAGACCTCTGAATGACCCAAATAACCTTGTCCATAATATCCATATTCCATACTTTAATCTTTCTTTGTTCGTAAACATTTGTATAGCAATAAAGTAAGATGCTTTCAACAATACGTGTTGCACATAATTAGACCTATTTTTTACTAGCTTTCGCCAGCGGCTTCGCCCACGTGGACCCTAGGGTAATGTTTAGTGGGATAAAAATTATAAAAGTATCCTTTTATCTAAGTCAGCTAACACCCTATCTGTATACCATCAAAATCCGTTCAGTAGTTTCGGCGTGATTGACCGACAAACGTCCAAATAAAGAAACTTTCACATTTATAATATTAATAGGATATTGTTGCACACAGCGGTTTCATTTGCAGAAATGTTCTCATTCGACGTATATAAACAATTTCCCAACATCAGTATTTATTAAAAAACAGATATGAATACTGAGCAGCCTCATAGCGTGAAGTGTGGCGGAGGTAAACTGGAAAACATTACATTACCTAAGTTAAGTTTACTTACATTCATGTATCTACTACTTAATAAAAAAACATATTTATAGGTACCATTTATTCAACTTATAATTAAAAATACATGGTTAAAGCCCTAATATTCACGAAAATAACATTAAATATAAGATAATAACATACCTGTGAATTTACATACAATCAAATTGCCCCAATAAACTAAAATTTTAATTTTTACTCATTTTTTTATTTATGTATATATTGACTACACTTAATAATTATCACAAAAGTATAATATAATAAAAAAATGGCTAACCTGAACTTTTTATATTCAGTTTTGTACAAGTTATTAAAAATAAAATTTTATGTTTTCCAGATTTATCTATTACTTATGAAAAGGAAATATTTGATTTTTTCTTTAGATTGAATTGGCTCCGAAACTTTACTTACTTACTTAGGCTAATGCCTGCGCAATTACTATTTTATATTAGTAATAGGTAGGATATTAATTAATTGGAAATAGGAGAATGCG